AGGGTGCTCGTCGGCGCCGGCCCCCGCGTCCGCGCCCCAGAGCCGGGCGTCGGGGCGCCGCGAGCCTGAAGAAGTTGTCAAGGTGAGTCGTGGCGGCTTCAGAATCCCGTCTGCGGACCCGGGTCTCCCTCCCTCCGCCCGTGTCAAGTCCAGGAGGCTTTGGGCTGGAGGGACAAACTCCAGGTTCACCCACGAGCTGCCCACTTCTATTTCTTACCCTGCTAGAAATGAACCGACTTCTTGGAGTCCTCTTAACAGCGCGGTGCTGATTATCACACACCTCTTTGAAAGAGAAGTGTCAGGCGAAGTGTTTGCATAGTACGTTTTTAACTGTCAGGGCAAAGCGTGTTTTTGCATTCTTGCAAACATGCGCCCTTTGTTTAATTTCTCAAAAGCCATCACGATGCTTTATCTAATTCTCATGTTTCACTGGAGATTTTTTTTTTTTACCAAAAACTTAGATATGATTGAGTTGGAAAAGTTAGATGTTTACCCAGGAGTGGCTGTCTCTCATCGAACCTCGAATGGCCCTGTGCTTAGAACAGAAGAGGCACTCGACCTAAGTTTATTAAAAGGAAGTTTTCTCCTTGGGAGGAACGATGCGTGGCACGGGGAAGACAGAAGGGGGTTACCCTGCTTCTTCCCCTGTTTCAGACTCATGTATGGTCAGAGTCCCACAAGGAAAACATCTTAGGCTTCGACATGAGGTTTGATATCCTCCTTCTGTACTCGAAGCTTAACCCGCCACAGCTTTTCGTCAGTGTTTCATCTTTGGCCTTGGGGTTGCTGGAACGCCTGCAGGTTAGGGATTTACGTTCATTTCCTTTGTTGTGGAGAGCTTTTTAACAATCCGCTTGTCTTGTAGCTGGTCTGTTTCCTCTACTCTTTCGAAGCTGTTGATGTTTCTAACTGGCAGTTGCAACGTCCACGTTTGCTAAGCTCCTTAATTACTCGAAAGGAGTGGAAGAATTCTTTTTGACCGTAATGACTAAATCTGGTTTGGCGCTTTTACTGTAAGAGAAAAGTCAGGAAACGTTAGTAAGTAGCTGTGTCAGCGTTTGTTTCTCTTCTGCCTGGTAATAAATGTACAGCTGGGTACGGACTAGTTTTAGGGAACCCCCCCTGGCAATGATCTATAGAATTGCTTTTAAGTATTTAGAACCATCTACAACATCTTATGAATGTATTCACTCTGTAAAATAAGGGTATTTCTGTTAGGAACTTAATAGGGTTTTCCCTCCTATGTACTGAAGTTTCTTGTAATGGATTCTATTACGATGTTATCAACACATTTGTTGTGATTTGTAAGTTGGTGGGACAATGTTAAAGATAATAATAATGGATGCCATTTATCATAGCTAACTTTTCACCAGGCATAGTGTTAAGGGCAGTACATTAACATAGTCATTGTTAACACTTAGGTTACATTTATTAACTACGCCATTAGCACCATAACCCTATGATGGTGCTTCTCATAAAGTGCTCTTTGAACCAGAAGCACCAGCATTACCTGGGGCTTTGTTAGAAATGCAGAGTCTCAGACCTCCCCTCCCCTCCTCATCCCTACCAAATCAGAAATCAGGAGGGTGAGGCCAGTCATCTGTGTTTTAACAAGCCCTCCTATTGTTTCTGAGCCACATCCAAACTTTGAGAGCCTGCTCTGTGATAAGTACTAAATAAGCACTAATATTATCCCCATTTTACAGATGAGGAAAATATTACACAAGGTTTAGCAATTTGTCCAAGGTTCATAGATAAGGATACAAATCCAGGCTGTCTGGTCCCAGGTTGAACCCTTCCCTGCTATGCAGACGTCATACACTAGGCTTGCCTGCATTTCATACTTTTACTGAAATTCTTCTAAAGAAACATCAGTTTTTGGGTTTTTTTTTTTGAACTGTCTTCATTCTTCAAGGTGTTGGGAACATTGGGGCAGCATCTTCTTGTCTCTAGCTGAACAAATTGGCTCTGACTAGGGAGAGATCATGAACAGAATCCAAATGGATGTTTTAGGGAAGGATTATTTCCATGAGCCATTTTTCTTTTGAACATATCTCTTAGATTATCGTGGAAATCATGGCCAACACCAAGAATAAAGAACAAAATTTTCAAACTCAGGGAAGAGCGAGAAGCAAAAATGCCATCAGAAGTCACAGGCTCAAATGCATAAACATGAAAGTCTAGCATCCTCTGGAGAAGTTGACATTTTCAAGGACTTATGAATGTTTCTTTTGCTACCTGGACAGAAATGGCAACAGAAGATTCTGAGGCAGTAAGAGAGCAGGGGGACGATCTCTGCATGGACTTCTTTATTGCTTTCCTAATCCTGCCTGGGTTAAATTTTTGTGGTTTAGGAGGAATTTCATTTGAGGGAGGGAAAAGAAAGCCTCATGTTTTCAGAAAATGAGTGCTTTAATCTCTTGACGTGGCTCAAATCCAGAGGAGATGATGGCTATGTAAGCTCTCTTATCTCGGGCGTGGGGAGTCATCAGCAGGACGCGTGGAGCTGGATGAGACACAGACCACCACCTGCTGACCATCCGTAGACCGGGCTGCCTTGCTTCCCCTAGGGTCCTGCTGTAAGTGAACCCTGCCACGTCAGCGCAGGAAAACATGGCACTCTCCTTCCACATCTTGTTTTCATTTCGGAGAAGTTTCCAGGGACTTGCCTAGTTAGCAGGCAGACCCTCCAATTTTATAACTAGTCATTTGTATGCAATCTGTCCTGTGGTGGCCTCCCCTTTCTATAAATATGAAGCTGGGAGGTAAAGTCTGAGCTTTTAGGTCAAGGGTGGGATCTGAAAACGGACACCACACTGTAAGTAGTGGTTCCAGTGGACAAGAAAAATGAAATCTTCCTTCTATTTTGGTTTATTGGTGATTTACACCTGGCTGACTTCCAAAAAAAATTTGAGACAACTTACAGTGAAAGACATATATACAATAAGGCCATTGAAATACTTATAAAAAATGAAAAGTCATAAAGAGTAGGGGGAAATAAGTACCTTTTGTCCAAAGCTAAGGCTGCAATTGTTATGAGGATTAAGTGTTAAATTTAGCTTAAGCTTCCTGGCAGCCATGTCAAAAAGGGAACCATAATGGACTCCCTTATTTTCTTTGAATGATAAGAGAAGTTTATCAAGAGATGTGATTTGTTTTTCATGGAACTGAATTCTAAAATGAGAATTTTACATTAGAATCAACTTTAGACTTCAGAAGACTATCTCTCCAGCTTGTTTCTGAAAACTCCTCTTTGAACCTATATACAGAAAAGGCAGTTTAATATAACTGCCCAATCAGCATAATATAAAAAAAGAATTTGGCATCTGGAGTCTAGAGAAGTGGGTTCTAGTCCTGAGCCATGTCACCTTAATTTCCTGCTCTGTAAAAATGAGTAAGTCAATCCAAAAATTGTCTAAGATCTCTTCCAGCTCTGACGTTTGATGGTCCTGTGATGAGATCATCAAGTTTAGCTGCAAAATCCCAACAAAGACTATTGCTTAGCCCTTTGTGCTGTCTCTTGCAAAATTATTCCATTTCTCATTTGTTGGCTCTAGCCTAGAACTCTTACCGATTACTCAATGTCGATCCTCTCCTGAACTTTATTCTTTTTCTTCTGTGTTAGCCTGGGTATTGCTGTTTTCTCTTAAAATCTGGTTTCTAAGGGAGACTTAGGCTACCTCTAAGCCCCTCTGTCATTTTCTTCCACAGTCATTCAGCAAATGTTTACTGCACATGTATTCTGGGCCAGGTACTCATTGTGCAGTGGTGAATGGAGTTGCTTTCCTCCCAGAATTTGGGGGAGGGGAGGAGGGGAGACAGTGCAGAAACACAGCACACACTTGGCAGCCTCCCCAGCTGCCCCAGTGAGAGGAAGCGTGCCTATTTGCTCATCAGGAGACAGCACTTCCTGCAGTTCCCTTTGGTCTCTGAGATAAGTCTTCTCAGCTCCCTGAATAAAGAAAGGGCTCACTAAAGAGGGACGATGTTGTAAAGCAGAATGCCAAGCTGGGGACCATCCTATAATTAGCTGGTAGCCCCAGAGCGCATTAAAGATCTCTAGGTCTCGGGGACCATCTGTGATATTTTGTCACTATGAGTCTTGACCCTAATCACTTTCTTTTTTGTTGGTCGGACCATGAGACCCCTCTTTCACCTTCACCACATTTCAGTTAGTAAACTCTACTGGTTTTGTCTCAAAATATAACCCCAATCCCACCATTTCACCACTTCCATGGTTACCACCAGGCTTCACACCTTAGTTTGGCACCTGGACACTGTCGCCCCTGACTATCTAGTTTGGGGTTTCTACTCTATTGCCCTCTACGGTCCATTTTCTGTGCAGCTGCTGGAATAATCTTAACTGTTTAGCCGAGATCCAGTCACTTTGCTGGTTCCAGTGACTCATTTCCCATCACACAGTATAAAACTCAATTTCTTAGTGTGGCCTTTGAACCCTTGCCTGGATCTCAACTCATTTACCTCTCTGAGCTTGTCCCCTCCCTCTCCCCACTTCCCTCACTCTGCTTCAGCCACACTGGCCTTCAGATACATTCATTCCTACCTCAGCACGGCTTACTTGCTCCTTGCTGGAATGTTCTTCGCTCACATCCTTGTGTGGCTAACTCCCTCACTTCTTTCAGGTCTGTGTTTTCTGACCCCCTCAGAGGGGGTCTTCCCAGCTGCCCTAGAAGAAAGGACCCTGCCCATCATCCTCTGCCTCCCTACCCTAGGATTTTTTTAAAAACTTTTTTTTACTGCATTTTAGTCATTTTACAATGTTGTGTCAAATTCCAGTGTAGAGCACAATTTTTCAGTTATAGATGAACATGCATATATTCATTGTCACATTCTTTTTTTCGCTGTGCCTATCCTAGGATTTTTAATACCACTCATCATTATATGAAAATTCCACTGTGTTTGCTCCTCCCACCTTCATGCACACTTCATGTCTTCTTTAAATCATTGTACTGCAGGCCCCTAGAACAGAGATGATCTCACAGTAGGTACTCAAGAAATATTTGTCAAAGGACCTAATGAATGAATTCAGCACCCTCCTTATGCCAGCACTATGCTAAGACT